GGGGTGGTGCGGTTTCTCCATATTTTTATTGTGACCCCCACTCCATTGAGTGACCCTGCTATCTGGAACTCTCTCCTCAAAACTTCTCCACCTTACTACGCTGCACCTCTCCTGTTTATAAAGGCCTTGGACAAACCATTCTCTGCCGCTGTGCCGTTACTCCCTACCTGTGCCTCCAGCTTGCTGACCAGTGTTGGGTTCTGCTCTGCAAAGTGCTGTGAGCCATCTTTCTGTACGTGAGAGGAGCACAACAGAAATCTATGCAGCCTTTGAATACTAAAACCTAACATTAACACCAACATATCTGTTCACTAGTAACTTGACACTGATTGCTTTATGTACCAATTTAATACCAAAAACATTTAAAACCAACTTAACATCAGTAACATTTATTATTAATGCAATACAAATACCCCTAAGAAAATACCAATAGCTTCAATTGACATTTTAACACTTGCATTGTCTACAATGAATCACCTACTGTACTCATCAATATTGCTCAGAAGCAATTTAATAGAAATAGCTTCTGTTCCAATTTTATTCCAAATCTGATGTTCATGACCAAGATGTTTCAGTATGGATTCAAAGTCATTTGCATTCAGGGCCAATATTATCAACACTAGTTGCAATGTACTACACTCCATTGCAAATTGCGCTCATTATTAATTGGCACCTATAACCAGCAAGAACTGTAAATTTCCGAGAAAAATCATCAGTGAGCTGTGTAGTTGAGCCAATCTCAGGCAGTGCTCGATTTCAATTAGGTAGGAATTCTGAATCTTAATGTTATCAAGGGAAAAGTCCACCATTCAGAAATGTAGTTGGAATGGCCAATCTGGAGTTGAGCAACAGTCGACATATTATCAAGCCCACCAAATGCGTGTACAAATGGGGACCTTGCTTGGTGATTCACTTGAGATTGCACTATTTAAATAGATGCAAAACCAGCTCATGTATATATATTCATTACCAAATCAAACACCAACACTTTTCATTATCAAGTTAGGACCATCAAGTGTTATCAGCAATCTATTTGCAATTTGGAGTTTAAACTTCTAATTGTCAATTTACCATGGAAAAGTTTGATTTCCAGTTTGACACTGCTAAATTTCATTATCAATTTCGTGGAACGGTGACGGGGAATTTAGTCATCAGAAGCAGAGGTAGGGTGGGAGGGGAGACGAGTTAGATGGAGTAACACCTTATATACAGCCAATGCGTTTTGTTTCTATGTAAGTGAACGAGATGGGGAACTTGACCGAACGTAATACAATCATCAAGCCCCTGCAAGCTTTCTGGTCTCCCCGTTTTCAATTGTGCCCCTATTATTTTTATCAGGCTAACATCTATGTGCTTCACTCTATTATAATGTTAGGCCAATATCAATGGCAGATTTCATTATATTTTGACCAAAAAAATGAATCTTGCGACACCACTTGAGATTGTTATCCAGCACAGACTGTGTTCTTCTTTTGGTAGGTGCCAAAGCAACTCCATTAACTAATGGACTATTTGCCTTGTCTTATTATACAAATGATGAACCAACTGGGGCTCAATGGTATCTGACAGGCAATGAAACTTCAAACTAGTAGTTTATAGAATCATAGACTAAAACAGCACAGAAAAAGGCTATTCAGCCCATCTCCTCTGTATTGACTCGTTGAAGGAGTAATTGAATTTCAGTGCCACTCCCGTGCATTTTCTCTACACCCTGGCAAACGTTTCCTCGACAAGCACTGGCCTAATTAATTTGGTCTTATCTCGGGATAAGTCTTGGTTTCACTGGACACATGCTGTCAGAAGGCACAAAGCCTGCAATCTGAGCGCTAATCGATAAACAGGATGAAGCATCGGAGGGGCTGAGGGAACAAGCACTCACCCTCCTTCTGGCTGCCTGCGGCACTCTGCTGCTGCAGCAGGCTCTGACTGTACAGTGTGGGCAGTGCAGCCGCTGCATACTGCTGGATTCCTGAGTAGGCTTGAGTCAGTGCGTCCATGGTGCCACCCGATCCATTCGTCAAGCCAGTAGCTCCGAGTCCGCCATTAAGCGCCGCCATACCTGAGAGCATTTGAGCAACTTTACATCAAACCAACAATAAAGAGAAAAAAGTGCACTCATTCAATAGTTCCTTACACAAAGGGCTATCCTCTCACATTCCCAAATAAGACATTCACTGTTCAACTCATGCAACATGCAGGCAACATGCAACCGGGCTGGGATTCTTATTGAGTAACAAATAATATTCATTTGTGCTGTATCTATTAATGAAGTTGAACTGTCAAACAGACGCGCAAACCCAAAACAACACTGTTTTGATAGTGAGGAGCTAAAGGCCACCAAGACAACATTCCCCCTTATCAGGATTTCTGGGATCTTTCGGCTGATAATCAGAATTTACTCTGTGGAGCTGTGGGGTGGACTCAGAGCGAAACTGGAATTCCTTCAGTTGGAATGGCTTCACATTCATGTGATCCAGGATCTAAGGGGATAACTCCAGTTTGACAAAAATTTTCTGGAAGCCAACAGGTATTTAGTGTCTATTCTCATCTTGTCGCTTTCCTTTCTCACCAGGCAAGATCATTTGCACGCTGATCGAGACAGCCTACTATCTAGGCCTTCACCAGTGCCAACTGATCTTTAATTTGCTGTTAGTTGGATACACCATTGGGCTCAGCTAACGCCCTCTCTGACCTTTTACAGGGAAGGGTTCCATTTCCACTTGCTACCTTTCCCTGTGAGAAAGTCTAAGTTTCGAATTTGACTTTGCGCAATTATGTATCTACTTTGAGCTGTTCCATAAAATTTGCCTAAGCAGGAGCAGGGAAATGCCAATGTTCAATAAAACTGCAGCTGACTTAACTGTGACCTTAACTCCATTCTTCTGCATTTTTTCATATAGCCCTCGACTCCCTTTTAGATTAAAAACCTGTCTAAACTCAGCCTTTCCCTTCCTGGGGAATCTAGAACTATACACCAATTCACACTAAGTGGTCGCCTGTTTATAAGAGAGATGAAGGTTGTGAATCTTTGAGATTTCTCACACCCGAGAATTGTGGAAGTTGAGTCATTGAATATAGTCAAGGCTGAGATAGACAGATGCTTGAGCTATTCAGGAGTCAAAGATTATGGGTAACAGGCAGAAAGGTGGAGTTAGGGCCATAGTCAGATCAGGCATGATCTTACTGAATGGCAGAGGAGCTGGTTGGGGTATAACTGGTGGATTCCCCTTGTGGGAGAATCCAGGACCAGAGGCACAAGCACAGAACATGCATTTTGCTCATTTCAGACTGGGTTGAGGAGGAATTTCTTCTCTGAGGGTAGTGAATCTATGGAATTTTTACTCAGAGGCTGGGTCATTAAGAATACACAAGGCTGATTTAGAAAGATTTAGTAACGGAGTTATGGGGAAAAGGCAGGAAAGAGGAATTGAGGATTATCAGATCAGCCACGATCTCATTGATGGGCAGAGCAGAGTTGACGGGCTGAATGGCCTATTTCCACTCCTATGTCTTAAGGCCTTAATTTTGTAACGTGAATTGGCAGCAATTCACGGTGACAGAGAGGTAGAAGTAATTTATAGAATAAATGGAATTAAAACACCTGATTAGATTTTAACAAGTAACTTGATATGTTATTCTCTAAGGATGAGAATACTTGAAAACAGTGAGGTGATTTTCTGAAAATGAATCTACGTGACCAGCAGGTGGGCACGATGCACCATACAAAACCACGGTCTCCTTTTCCCTGTGTGCCCCCTTCCCCATGCCATTGTCCCTCCCCACCTTCCAATCCCCACCACCCAGTGTAGTACTGTACCTGCCAGTGCATTAATGTTATTTAAACCAACAGTAGCTCCAGCCAGCCCCTGGAGTGTTCCCAGGGAGGTCAGGGAGTTCATGGCTGCACTTGTGCCAGAATTTGTTGTTCCTGCTACTGGAGGTGTGGAAGATGCACATGAGAAAGAAGAACAGAAAACATTACGACTGCATTTAGAGAAGGAAAAATAAATAAACAAACAAACAAACAAACAGTTCTCTCCCTGTTCCCAGGCTGGTCAAAGGAAGATGACACTGTCAGGTGAGCAGGAACTGGGTAACCGGGTAAGGCAGAGAGGCTTTGGGACGTGGCACATACGTTCTAGATGCCACTTGGCAATTCTACAGACAGACAACAATGGAGCAGGGGTCAATTTCCTGTCGGATTTCACATTTTCTCTCCCTCCCTCTTTCCAAATCAAGGCTCCATCCGAAAAATGACAACACAAAGCCTCATTGCGAACTGTGCCTTCATCACAACAACAACTTGCATCTACGTAGCACCCTGAACCTGGCTGATTGTCCCAAGATGGTTCATGGGAGTGCTAAGTCAAAGGGAGAAGGACCCTAAACAACATACTCAGAAGACAGATGACAAAAAGTGTTTCATCAGAGTGGGAGAGACAGGAGACAGAGATAGAGAGACAGAGAGGTTTATAGAGGGAATTCCAGAGCTAGGGAAATCGGGATTCACAATCACTTGATTAGTGCTAACCAAGCCAGACTAATACCCATTCACCCACCCCGTATAGCATTCTCTCTCCCCCTTCTTCTCTCCTTAACCTCCACTTTACCTCAGATACTATCCTATATTTTGAAATTGATTAAAATTAATCAATACAAGTGAATTTCTCATGGTGGGGGCACTGGTAGCTTTCAGGTGAATAGGTTTAGAGATCACTGGTCAATTTGGCCGGGTGATCTGCATGGAGGCTCTACAATCTGTCCTTATTTTATGGGTCAGTAGAATTTCTCAAATTACCATACAGAATGGATACAGAAGGTGTACACTTGTCGTGCTGCAGATTGAGCATTTTGCCAGTGGTCGTCTCTGCTGGTAGGAGGCTGGAATTATATCGTGACGAGTTTACTTTGGTAATCTCCGTTATAAATGCACAGGACTTTATCAAACTCAGACAAACAACATGTACATTGGTAAGATTGTAAACCCATTTCAGTCAATCGTAGCATTGCACATGTGAAGGTCAAGTGTGATCTTCAGGTTAAGTAGCTTAGGGGGAGGGTCAAGTGTGGAGAACAATTTTAAGATCAGACAATCTGTCCCTATTTCCATTAGAAATTCTAAAGCTTACACTTACAATGGAAATGGCCAATGTAAACATGTCACACAGTGGTTAAACTGTCCTACCAGTGCCAGTGTGACCTGTTTAGACTGCCAGCTCCAATACCAACCTTGAAATTTATAATGGAAGTGGTATTACAGATTCACAATATTTAACGTGATAGATATATACAATCACAAATATCAAGAAGTAATTTATAAAATACATACCAGGCATCGACTGCTGATTGCTGTTTCCCCATTGCACTGCGGGAACAAATGTAAAAACACTCACACACATGCGCAGACTACCTTACCTTCTTTACTAATTTACACTTCTTTTCTATATAACAGAAAACCTTGTTTGTCAGAATACTGCCCCTGTGCACCATTATCAGGTTATCAGTTCTCAAATTGCCCCTGCTCAACTACCTTCTGAGATTCATCTGGTGTGTTCCAGACACACTGCTCTGCTTCCTCATTCAGCTATTTCCTGCTTGTGTTACTCAGTTTAACTTTCTCTCCCGGTTTTGAAACAATAACACCTCCTGGGCGGCCAAACCATATTGCTGGTGGTCCGAGGCACTGCCTTGTTGTACTCCACACAACATTCCAGGAACCTGGAGCAGCTCAGCATCGATACATGTGCGTGCTGTTTCAGACAGGCTTTGGGACAGTTGACCAGGAAGGGTGACATTGCCCGGTTGCACTGGCAGGTTGGCTCTGTCAGCGGCATTCAAGATTCCCAGTTCCACCCGCCACCTTGGGTGTCCCTTGGGTAAGCTGTCAAAACAGGGTCGGATGAGCAATTCATGCGGAAGGGTGAGACGTTGCTCCAATGTCCTGACCAAGTTTCAGACAATCCGACTTTTGCTGTTTGTAGGAGGTTTTAGAATGCAAAAGGACTGCTGTACAGTCCTATAAAACAAGACCGATTACACCTTAAAGCACCACTGACCCACGATAATACTCATAATATAGTTCTTTCCTCCTTCTTCAAGTTACTATTTCATAGCCACTGAGCCCAATTGAGATCAGTTTCAGTAAAAAAAAAAATGGCAGATCTAACCTTGTTGATTGGTACGGCTCAGGTGATGACCTCTTTAGTCTGCAGCTTCCATCCAGTGCCCCATTTGGAGCAGAATCAGAAGCATGGGAAGTCACCAATAAGTTCCCTGTGACAAGACCCATCTAGCAGGCTTTTACCTACCATGGCGAGAATGGTCCTTGCTAGACAGGCTCAGGACAAGCCAGGGCCCTTGGGGAGCCAACCTCCATTGGGACTCAGTACAAACCCTTGTGCACTTGTGCAGAGACACAAATCATGGTGCACGCTTACCAAGGAGAGTCCCTGCTGCAGATTAAGTGGCGGATGAATCAGCAAACTCAGCAAATGAGGCAGCAATTGCTTGCCTCCGGGGATATGCATTCATTGAATTAGAAAAAAACAGTGCCACATGACAAAATTTTGCCTTAACAACTGGTGCATTTCCACCTTGAGTAATGATGCGAAACTAAGCCAGGGAAGTGCCACCTTCAATCCATTAGCTTATCCATTCTGTCAGCACAGCAGTAACGCGTGAACGAGCCTCACGCCTCAGTCCTTGTGCCTAATGAGTCAGGCAAGGCTCATGCTCCTGATTTCCAGCAATTCCCCTGGTAAACGTGCACAGACACACGGATATTTGATGGGCGACGGAAACGGTCTTAATAATGCCATTGTTCCACTGGTGAAGCAAATTATTGCTTGGCAAATGGGCAGCTTTTACATGGTCATCTGAAGCTTCATCCCAGGTTTGGCAGCTTCAGAAGGGAAAACAAGGGAAATTGTTTCCAATCAATCAAATCACTGGGCATACGTTGACCTGTTCAGTATTCACACTGCCAAAGCAACATACTGCCCCATTTCAACCACTTGGATTCACCTTCTGAACCCGGTAAAAGAACTTCAGAGATCCACTACCAAAAACAGAAGAGATTTGGAACTGGTGACCACAGATGTGGTTTAAGAATTACCTTAAAGGAGGAGAATGAGGCCAGAGGGGATTCAGAAAGAAACTCCAGAGCTTAATACCAAGGCAGCTGCCAGAGCTTAATACCAAGGCAGCTGAAGAAATTGTTACTAATGGCAGGCAAAAGAAAAATTAAGAATGCAAGAGAGGCTTTATTCTGAGGAATAGAAAATTCTCAGAGAACAATAGGGGTTTGGGAAGGTTATGAGGAGAGGGATGTACTAACAAAACAACGCTGTGCTCAGACAAGGTGAAGCAGGAAGGCACAACACACAGTCAGTCAATCTGTTCTTCAGCCTTGCGTAAACCTTTGTCACATCCAGAGCTCTGTTTTCTCTTACATAATGACAGCAGATCCCTTAACTGCTCAATAATACTGAATGGAGCCAGAGTCAGTTAAAATCTCTTGATGGCAAGACAACAAAAGGACGTTTTGTTGAAGGGGACAGTATTTCAGACAAAAAAACCTAATCTGGAAGACGTCACATCAGAGTCCTCTGCTACTAGGATTTGTTTCTTGTTTAAACATAATTCCCACACAGATACTGTCCATCAACATTGTCTGGGTTTATAATCTCAAAGTGATCGCTACCATAATGGTATTGTAGTTAAAGCCTTTGCTCTTGCCATCAGCACAGCCATAACATTTAGACCCATTTTTTAAAAAAAAGTAATTTATAGGATGTGAACATTATTGGCAAACTCGTTGCTCGTCCCTAATAACCCTCAACAATGTAGAGGGGAGCAACCTTCTTGAACTGCTGCAGTCCTTTTGGTGAAGATGCCCATTGTGCTGGGACATAAGGAGTTTCACGATTCTGAGCCAGCAGTGAAGGAACAGCTGCTGGATGGTACAACCCTGTGTGACACCTGCTTTGGAAGACAACCGCAGGGATGGTGTTCCTATGTGTTTATTGCCCTTGCCCTTCTAGGTGGCAGTTTCTTGTCCATGCTGTCGTAGGTGTAGGTTTTGGAAAGTCAGCCAGGTGGACCTCATAGAATATGAGTTCCCTGATTGGGGCTGTTAACTTGGTCCAATCAGGGAGCCCTGGCTGACAGATATAAACAGGAATGTCAGGGGTTCTGTTCACTCTGAGAGCGGGCTCTGACGTAGCTGAGTCAATGTTGTGTACTGTGCACATGTAAACGAAGGGTGGCTTGGTGACATGACACCATCCTTTGTAGAGTTATTTCAGTCAGAGCCTTAACAAGTTACTGCAGTACATCTCGTAGATGGTACACGTTTCCTTTTTCAGATCCTGACATATATCCTGTTTATTGCGAGATGTTTCCCTCTTTGAGATTTTCAAGTTTCCCATTTTTCTCTTAACATGCCTGATCTATAATACTTATGTGGTGCTTTTCTTAGAAAAACTAAGAACAGAGCTGGTTCTACACTGGCTACGGCAAAAGTCTAATCAAATGGATATCCATCCACCCCCTGTCAAATGGGGAGTCCTTTACATCAGCCTGAAACCTGAAGCAAGGGGAAAAACAGTGGGCTCAATCCACAGATTAAATGGTAAAATTAATTATGGAACTGCCAATGACTTTATGGCACATCAACATGTCATAAAGTGAATGACCCAGGAGGCAATAACCAATTTGTCAGCAAGGACCACAGGCAACTTTCAATCAAAACATCTTACATTTGTAATACCCTCTTCATTTTAAGGAAACACTTTAGGGAACAGTGGATTAATACAATTATCAGCTTCTGTGTTTAATTTTACTCAGCATAATGATTTTTTTTATATTCACGTGATATAGAAAATCTACATATGTTGATTGGGCTTGACGCAGGGTACATCAGATATGCTTATAATATTTGGGTGGTTTTCATCAATATTTAATAGGGTTAAATGTTCCACTCTGACACTAGCAGGAAGGGATGCACTGAAACTGACAAAATGCAAAGTCGACAGGATCTAGAATGGACAAGTGATCCATTCTTCACCAGTGTCAAAGCAATTGATCTCAAAATCCCTAGATCATGGCAGGGAAAATGAAAGTTGGCCATAGTATCTGCTCCTGATAGCTTCCCAGCTGCAAAATACTCATATGTGGCCAGGAGGTGAGAGTTGGATGAGGCTCACTGGCCAGATCCTTTATAGTAAAGTCTGTTTGCTGATATATTCCTGGCTGTCCATGGTAAGGTACTAGAAAACAGGATGAACTCATGATTTACCATTGTGTGCTTTTTGCAGGCCTGAAAATTGAGGGTGAAGAGGGAACGAAACCAAAGGAATCAAATGTCACGCAATTGTGTTGAAGAATGTTTGAGGCTTGTTGTTTAATTTTGTTTTTTGCCGAATGATTGACCTATCAACGTGTAGGACAAACCCTGTGACTTTGGGGACAGTGTCCAACTCACCATTGAGTCTAAATGCAAGTACAGGTCCATTGAGGGTTACACTATCTGACAGACAATTACAGCTCCCTGAGTGACTAAATTTTAGAAGCAACTGCGAAGATTTTGCCCCAAAAAAAAAAACTAATAACTGTGATTCGGTTTTATACGGCACTGAGTACATTGTCACTTGCTGAGCTGACACAAAGTTGTTTCAGTGCCTCTGTACGGAATGTTGTCACTGTAATCATCAACCTTTATCGTTGGCACTGGTTGAAGGTGGGTAAGGGATTTTTAATTGAAAACGGCCTCCATTGGAATGAAGATGGGGGGAGATTTAACAGACACGGTTGTCACGGATATGATTCAACCAATATTCTATAACGTAAGAGGAAATGGAGCTCCTCGTGGTAGGTCTACACTCGGAAATAGGAGAGGATGTCTGAAGTTGCCTACTTTAAGACCGCTAGCCACCCTACACATTTCTAATTTGCTCCTTTAATTAATCCATGACATGGCCCCCTGGACTGTCAAGTCTTACAGAATCACAGAATCCCCACAGTGCAGGTGTCAGCCATTCAGCCCATTGAGTCTTCACCCTACAAAATGCATCTCACCCCTCCAATCTTATCCCTGTAACCCCTCATTTCCCATGGCTAACCCACCTAACCTGCACATCTTTGGACAGTGGGAGGAAACTGGAGCACCCGGAGGAAACCCATGCAGACACGGGGAGAATGTACAAACTCCACACAGCCTTAACACCACTTTCCTGCCAGCACCAGCCCCACCCCATAACTCTCGACTGGCCTTTCTTCCATTTCATTGTGGGGAAAATCACCACTTGGAGTCAGTCATTAGAATCTGGAGCACATAGTCTGAAAGAGTGAAGGAAGCAAACCAAA